ACACACGACCAACACCTGTCGGCCGTCCGGCGTTTCCTTCCGACAACTTCAATACCAAATAACATCACATGACTTAACATGAACAATATACTGAATTTACATGGAAGTTGTTGAACTTGCTCACTGGACCAAACACACGGCCGCGGTGTGCTCGCTACATGCGAGGCCTACGGCCTATGACCAGTTCCTTTACAAACATGAAAACTTCCGAACAACATAACCATAACTGAACATAACATGAATTAACTTGATCATTTAGACATGAACTGTTCGAGTGAACCTGACCATAATGAGAAATAACACGGAGCGGCCGTGACACGCACACCACGTGCGATCCTTGGCTTTAAGCCAATTTCTCGACCGAATCTCTGATTTACCCAACAAATTCCACTTATCTGAACATAAGACAATTAATAAAGGCCAAAGAAACAATAACCGTTCAGGGCTTGTCGGAACGAAACGGACGTAATCGGGTCTTGCCTTAAATATGACCTTAACCGAATTTAGCATGAACTTCCTTACAATTTCTGAAAATTACTCGAACAATTAACCGTAATACGACCTTACTAACATGAATATAAGCTGATAATAACGATACCTTCTTAGATGCTCGTCGGAATTTATACACCGATCGCGACGTCCGATAGTACTCGCGTGCGCCCGTGTGTATGCTTCGCTCCTTGCGTGCGTTGGTTTGCTAATTACCGTGCGATGAAGAGTGTATAAAGCTTAAGATGACAAGTTGAGTTACTTGCTGATATTTAAGGGTAATCTTCTGAGTACGACTTATAGGGAAATGGGGGAAAAAATTCAATCAACTCGTGCTTATATATGTAGTGGTCGTGGGATGGTGATGACGTGAAGGATGCGTGGTCTTCTCTTTAAGCTTACACTTGCTTCTTTTTAAACTATGTTGGGATGACTAATCTCCCAAATTATCCCCTCATAAAGACACGTGTGAAATTAATTTAGGAGGAGGAAATTTATTTCCTTCAAGCTTAGGAAACTTAGCAAGAGTTGGGCATTAAACATTTCCATACGGCTTTCACATAAATTTGGAGATTTTTGGACGGCTTACTCCTTATTAATGTGTTTAATTTGAAATTAATCACTTCCTTTATGTTTAATTATTTAATTAAACATAATGCTTAATTACCAAAATTATTCCGAACGTAAACGATACGTCGAAAAGAAATTTCGGTAATCCCGACTGAAAATAATTAATTCCGGAAATACTAAACGTTAACATTATAATATCGGAATTAAAACATAATTTATATCGATAAAATATCGGGATATTACATAAGCGGTTATATGGCTCACAATGCACATGCTCCAGGCTCAACTACCCTCCTTAAAAGATCCTTCATAGTCCTTTAAGGTACACACCTTCTTCGCAATTATCAAAGACTCCTGATCGGAGAAAACCATTTTCGGTGCAACATACGAGTCGATAACGACCTGATAAATGATCATCATTGGCCTCCAGGTTACGATACCCAAGAGAGTTACGATGACGTTCGCAATTCCTATTACATGGACTCGGAGTTATCGCAAACAACAACATCAACCTCGCAACAAATAAGGTCTAGCAGAAAACAGACTGCTTACCTTTATTTATATACAAAGCCTCTAAACCAAGTTAGCTTCACACATAAAACACATAATATTTCACAACCGATTAAAAGATAATACACAAGAATGGAAAATTAATAATCAACACACAATCTCGATTTCCCGGTCAGTCGTCCACTCCTTGCTCAGTTCATCCTTGAGATTGGCGTTAGTATGATTCCATCGATTAACAGAGCTCCTTGGCATCGGTCGATAACTCATTCGAAGTTTTAAATCAAAATCATCATACTCCAAAGATTGGATTTCACCACTGTTACTCCGGTACACTTGTCAGCTGCCCCAGACGTTTGAGTGATCCCGCACATTCAAAATTTCTCCGTTATCTAATCTTAGTAAGGCATCCTGACGTTGGTCACCAGAAAGCTATGGTGTATATACGCAAATTTCAACTATTAAAGAGATAGCCCGCTCAAAATGCTAACTCGATCTCATAGAGAAATCTCTAGAGTCATAACTAGTTCCCAAAAGTGCCTAGAGTTCACCCAATAAGAACTAGGATTCGAAATATACCAAGGTGGATAGATCCTAAGCCCCAAATCACAAGTTCATCACGAGTAGTTTCATTACTACAAGTGCATCAATTACATAACAAGTATTTTCATTAATACTTTAAACAAAACATACCTTAAGCAGCGCGGAGTGACAGAGACGAGTGGTCATAACACAAGGTCTAAACACATTATCCCATCTTAAACCAGTCTACAGAAACGCAGACTGGCTCTGATACCAAACTGTAACACCCCACTTTGATTTTAAAGAAATTCCGGACTTTCTAAAAATCAATGTAAAATTTTCAAAATCATTATCGAAAATTCAATGGGTGTTAAACAACATTTTTCATAACCCAAGTCTTATCTGGGCTCACGGGGATTCATTACCCGGTTTTCACAAACGATTTTCATTAACCGAAACATATCACGAGACATAATTCTCAACATGAATATATAATCAATCCATAATACGCAACAATCCGGGTTCCACAAATTTCCAAAACGAGCAAGTCATAAGTTTTGGGAAATAACATAATCAAGTCTCAACAAAAGGGTTCATAAAGCCTTATTCATACGGAAGCGATAAATAAAATTGACCGACCCACTCACCTCTTCTCGTCACCCAGCTCCTGCTTAACCTGCATCGGTAAATAGTAGGTGGGGATGAGCACTAGATGAAAAGCGTGCTCCCCACTATGCACATAAATAATACATGTTTAGATGGTATGGTCGCAGTATGAATATAAATCAATCATCATCATGTCTCATCTCCTAATCACAACAATAACTCACTCATGTGTACACACCTATCATTAGACTACCGCTGGCCTGTTCGAGGGCACGCCATGTGACTTAGCTCGTCAACCAGACAGTAGGAGTACATGTCGAAAGCACGCCATGTGACTTAGTTCGACACGCATATCGAAGGCACGCCATGTGACTTAGTCCGATATGGCCTTTCATTAGGACTTAGGGAGACTTGCCTTGCAAGGGCAACCGCACCGTAACTCGACGGGGACAACCGTACCGACGGCCGTAACAGCTCGCATCGATAGGCTACATGGTTCACATGCATACATTGATCATACCAATAAGAAAAAAAACATTCATCATTCATGGCATAGACAATTTTAGATTAGAACCCACCTGGTGTAGCAACGGAGAAAATGGCACACAAATGGATGTAGGCAGCGAGCACGGCTCGTCAGACACCGTTCTCGGGGAAATTGCACGGAAGGAGGTTTGAACGGGGCTGAGGATGGTCGCGGGCACGCGGGGGAAGGCCTGCGGGCGTCTGCTGGGCGCTGGCGGGCTTCGCGGGGACGCTGGGCAGCAACGGAACGCGTGAACAACCGAGGCATGGGACCGCGAACGATGATGTGAACACGCCGACGATGGAGGTGCTGGACGATGGTGTCGCGATGGCCACGGCCAATGAGCGACGGCAGCGATCGGAGAGAAAAAAAGAGAGGGGAGCGAGAGATGAGAGGGATGAGAGAAGAGAGGGTGGCGGCTGGGAGGAGAATTTTGACGATGGGGAAAAATAATCTCTCCAATATAAAGAGCTAGGCTAGGGCTTGGGGAAAAAGACTTACCATGTAAGCAAACTTGCCAAAAACCACACCAAGGATAAAGGGAAGGACTCCAACATCAAGCAACTTACCATAAACAACACAAGGAAGGAAAAAGGAAGGCTCCACACTTGATTCACTTACCAAACATACAAGAAGAAGAGAGGGGAGGGGCGGCGGCTAGGTCTTGGGCGTGGGTCACGGGCGCGACTCGGCTCGACCCAAAGCCCGGTTTGACGATAAAATTCATTTAAATACACATATAAATTAAATTAACAATTAATAATAAATTAAATTAAGAATTATATAAAAATATCAACAACTAATAATTATAAATACACATAAGGCACATAATCATCACTTAAACAATTTAGACAATTAAATTAACACATATAATAACAATTAATAAATAATAATATTAATAATAAAAATTCCAATTTATTCATAAACGAACGGGGCGTTACAGGTAACAACAGAGTCGTATGTTCTAAAGATATCGATTTTGAGGAAAGCCAAGGAAACATTTGAATTAAGAAAAATTTCTCAGTCAAGAATCAAGTAGTATTGAGGTGTGAATCAAGCATATACTAGAAGAAGTAAATTTTTACACAATGAATCTATTTGAAAAGATAGAGACGTTTGAAACCTTGGAAATCAAATATTAAGAAACTGAAAAGAGACATGGAGATTCAAGCACATTGTTGAGAATATCATTATTACTAAAGAAGCTAATACAGACACACCATTTACAAATACCGATAAACTAAAAAGTGAATCCTCAACTAATACAAGATAATATATAGATAAAGGGAGGGTGCGTCTCAAGAGTACAAGACCCCTTAACTCTGCCACCCATACCAGATATCAGGGTTTATAAAGATAAATCTGGTGGATCAGAAGTTCGTTTGCGCTTAAACCCTTGAGTTTCCACAGAATCTTGAGAAGTGATGTTTTTTTGAAGCTTCTTGATAAGTCCAGCAGCAGTATCTGCACATTTGAAGATCTCTCTAGTAGAATAAAATATAAAAGTCTGAAATAAACTGTCATAAAAAAAACCAAGAAGGCCATTGAAGATGTGATGGGAATTTAATAGACCAATGGGCTTATTATGAAATTTCATGTCTGCCCAAGAAGCAATTGTAAACATGGTCATTAAAGTGTCATATCCACCAGGAAGTATGATGAAAGCATCACTATGGTTCAACATAAACATAGTGCAATCATAAATAGAGTTAAAAAGCATCAGACTGGTAGAATCTTTGAGAACTTTTGAAGGAGTTCTGTGACATGGTAGAACACTTTTCACTTCAATATCAAAGCATTTTCCAGCCAGGAGAAGGCTACCAAAGAAAGCGAAGCTAGTTCCTCCATACAGTAAATTGATCATTTGTTTTCCCAGTTCTCTTACTAGTTGGGATACAATATCAATATTTGGAGAAGAAGCTACAAGTTTAGGACCGCCAAGAACACATATGGTTTTTATAGGTTGAAGAACCTTTGTAACTTGAGAAGACTCAGAAACCTCCATTTGGTGTGGAGAGATCATAAAGAATGATCGGTATATTTAAGGAGAAAGTTTATGAAGAGATAAATATTATATTGTTGCACTCTGATAGAAGCAACAGACAAGTAAGAAGTTAAGCTGTAAATGAGCGTTATCTATCAGAAGGGATAAGATATTCAATACCTTATAATAAATATGGTTAACAGAGACAGTTGTAGCAAACAGGATCCTTAGCAACAATAGTTTCCAGACTATAGCGGTTTTGTTCATTTTTGAAACAGAACATTTGAAGTTCTCGATGCACATATCCACTAGGATGTGTCTCAAGAATCTGTTGGAGTGTTTGATCCATAGATTCTCTACTCAATCCATCTTTGATGAAAGCTATTTTATCTTCTCGATTTTTAGACACAAACCCCAAAGATTTGCATCGGGTGTCGCAGTTCCATCGAGCACATTTATAGCATCCGCCTATTCTTTTTGCTCAACGTTTCTTTGAAAGAGTACTTTTACCCATACCTGGCAGATATTTATAGGAATTTGGGAATTCGCCAGATAGTTGAACGTTTGCTTCAATCAACCATCGAATAGCACTGGGGATATTATGGAGCATTAGCACTCTCAATCTTTCCACTCGAGATCGATAGATTTTTTTTTGTGATGTTAAGTAGAAGAAAGGAGTAAAAGTTGCGAATATTTGAAAGTGCTAGATCCATTTGTTATTCAGACCATTGCTGAAGATTGAAGGATCTACCGTGTCTGTTTATAGAACAATGACGCGTCTGAGATACGACTTTAATTTGTGTGTCAAGGAGCAAAATGAGTATGAGATAAGATCTCCGTTGTAAATTTAGTATTAAAATATGCCGAGTGGCTGAATACGCAACAAGAGTGCATTACTGGCAGTCGAAAGAAGATGTGAGATGTCGGTAATAATGATATCACAATGAATTACTGTGATACTTACTCATTTTACTGTTGCCGGTATGCATGATTGACAGTAGGAGATGGTTATTCTCAAGCTGTGACTATGTGGAATAATGATCAACTAGAACGTGATCAATATGACAAGGTAGATCACACTAGCACAATAATTACAACTTAGTTTTTCCAAGATTTCTCGACTATAGTTAAGTCAGGAGAATTTGACGTAAGAGAAGTACCGATAGCAGTGCTAAACCAAAAGGTGCCCGAAAGAGGCAGGAGCATGAGTATGCAGTCGATGATCATGTCTTTATGAAGGTTTTAACCATGAAAGGTGTGACTCGCTTCGGGAAGAAGGGGAAACTTACACCTCGCTATATCGAGCCGTTTGAGATCCTTGCTCGAGTCGGGGACTTGGCGTATCGGCTAGCTTTACCACCGGATTTGTCGGGGGTGCACGATGTGTTTCATGTCTCGATGTTGCGGAGATACGTGCATAATCCTGACCATGTGGTGGACTTCGGCGAGCTGCAGGTCGAGCGAGACCTTACTTATGAGGAGGTACCGGCAGCCATTTTGGACCAGAAGGTCCATCAGCTGAGAAACCGGGCAGTGAGTTTAGTGAAGGTGCGGTGGAGTCGACACGACGAATCTGAGGCGACATGGGAAAAGGAGGACGATATTAGGAGGCGTTATTCGAACTTCATGTTTTGAGTTTCCCTTGGTATATTTTTTTTAGTGCTCTCTAGTTGCTTTGTTTTCGAATTCCGAGGGCGGAATTCCTTTTAAGGTGGGTAGATTGTAGCGCCCCGTTCGATTTATAGAATTTCTCAAATTATTCTATTTATCGAATCTTAATTTTGAGATTATATTTTATATTATTATATGGATACTGTGATTATATATCTCGTTCGATTTTATTTTATCAATCGTCGTTTGAATTTTCGGTTTAATCGCGTAAGCCGAATTGTTGTTCGTTTGAATTCGTTTTAGAACCCTTGCGACACGAACATCAAAGCGAATCAACAAGACCTTAAGACTATTATATTACCATCTCTGTAATAGTATTTTTATCCATAAAAACCGAATTAGAAGAGGAAAAATTGATTGTCGTCAAATTCTTTGGTTTTCAATTATTGTCGGATTTTAAGTCCGATTTCGGTTCCGTAAAATTTATTTTCTTCTCAATTCTTTTAGTAGGCATCAAAACCAAAGTTAATAAGTTTTGTTCAGCCATTTTAAGTATCAAAACCGAATCCATACTCATGCATGAGTTAGAGAACCATGTTACTCTCTTTTGGCATCATGTGTTGGTAAAATATTAGTTTTAGGTTTAGATGGGATCTAGATCTTATGTCCCCTCTTATCATGTTTTTGTGTTTTATTTCTTAGCTGTATTAGACTATTAAAAACCTGAATAACTTGAGAAAATAGAGAGAAAATCGGATTTCAAGCAAGATAGGGAGAGAAGTAGAATGTTTGGCCTGTTTATGGTGTCATAATGTGATCTAGTGAATTTGTAGTCTTCATAAAAGTTATTGTTCTGTTGATTAGCTTTCTAATGAGATAGGATTCATGCTGAGTTGATATCTATAGCTCGAGTTGTGTTCATATGATTGTAGATATACATGAAGTAGGGTTTTACTCTTTGGCAGAAAACTGATGTTAAAATGTTAGTAGATTTTACACCATCTTAAAGACCTTATCTGCTTTTGTGTTCTAAATGAAAGTTGTAGGGCTATCTCTTAGCTTTCTAAGAACACTATAAGCATGTAATTTAGAGGTCGGTAACATGATTAAGAAGATAAATACTGAGGTGCTGTTTATATCATACTTTAGTTTCGGGCAGACTTTATGAATCGAATGTTTTGTATCCGAACTCATTTATAAAGTGATTATTTGCCAATATGGTCTTCAGCAAAGCTGTAGACATTTGAGTTAGATATCATTTAGTTTTTTAATCTTATTAAAAACATGTCTGTAGCTCCAGTTATCTATTAAATACTGAAGTCTGGTCGGTTACAAGTTCTCGATTTTTTACTGCTACTCAGTTTTGAATGTTTGATGATCTATTTCCTAGTACACGACCTTATTTGCTTTCGGTATCTTCATAAGAATTGTAGATGCATGTGTTAGGATTTCAGTGCAACTTGAATCATATTCATCCGAGTTTTGTACTGAAAGTCATGTTGATTTCAAAAACGCTGCCCGGTTTAAGTTTTTAAAAACGTACATAGTATTTTTAGAAATGGGATTTCCTTGATTAAATGATTATGTGAGCTTAGTTGGACTAAGTGATTGTTATGATTAGTTGTTCATGTGTTGCATAGTCACTTATAGGACTATTTTAATAAATGTAGGTGCTTGACGAGCCGAGCTCGCCGCCTACCCGTTATTGTTGTGCTTTCGCTTGTTATCGTCCAGGTGGGTTTACTTATAAAATTTGCTATGCCGTATGTATTATAATTAATGTTAGATTGGTATGATCTAAGTATGAATATAAACCATGTAGCC